TACTCGACATGTACATTTTGTACAGCCAAAATTTTTCAAAAAATCTCAAATTTAATTAAAACATAAAATTTAAGATGAATTTTGTTTGCTCGCCATAGTACGAAAAGGTTCCCGAAATGACGATAGCGCCATTATCATATTTTAATTTTTATATTTTAATGTTTAACTAAATATTTATGCAATTGTTGTGACTATCCATCTTAATATTAAGAATGATATACAATTTTAACCTAAACACCTTACAAATAGCAAAATGCTGCTGAATTGATGTAGCAATTAAATCTGACTTACCTAAATATTTTATTTAATTATGCATTCAGTCAAACAAATACATGCCAGTCACATGTCAAAACACCCTTTGAAAGACCGCCAGTTCTTGAAATGAGAAATTTTTTTTTCCTACAACGTTTTAGTTAAGTAAAAATAGCGAACTTTTTCATAAAATCATTTTAGCATTACTATTCGGATTAAGCAATTTTCAGCATTTATTTTTTAAGCAATTTTAAGTTTAACAAATAAAGAAGTCTAAGTTCGGGCGAACCCGAATGTTCTACCGAGTGTTCTAGACCACCGGTCCACCCTTCCAAAATGGCGGAAAATGTTTTCTATTGGAAACGCAAAAATATGGACTAAATGGAATATACATGTTTTTACTACAGATTCGAAATTTATCGACAAAAATACGTACATACATAACTTTTGTCTCAAGCTTTTTTTCGAAAGTGCCTTTTCAACCTCTAAATGACCTTGATTGTTCAACTCGTCCTGGACTTCTAAAATGGAGGAACATATTTTTGATTGGAAAACGCAAAAATATGATTTACCAACTCGGTGATGCTCTATCTTTTGTTCGTATTACCGACTTCCGCTTTCGGCCCGAATTGGCTTAATCATACCGAAATCCCATTCTTTTAAATGGGTCATACATGCTTTCACCCCAGATTGGGATTCTGCGGACAAAAATATGTAACTTTATTCGGAAACTATTTTGTGTAAAAATCATCATTCAACCCGCAAATTACATCTTAAGCAGGTTTAAATATTGTTTTTTAGCCTTTCTTAAATTTAAATGAGCTAATTAGTTACTAAAATATCGCAAACTACCGTTAAATGAGAGCTAGGCGTGGTTATTGTCCGATTTTGCCGATTTTCAATACAATCCGCCCTTATATGTGTAACAAGTTTCGTCGAGATATCTAAATTTTTATATGAGTTATCGTGTGCGTAGACGAACGGTCAGACAGATGATCGATTTTCATTCTGAGCAATTTGATAATCATATGTCTGCATCTATCTCGATTCCTTTCGGCTGTTACAAACAATCGTTACGCGGAGAAATTTAATACATATGTATGTATGTAATACATATGTACATATGTACATGGCTCTCGGGTATAAAAATAAACTTAAAATTAGCTTTTGTGTGAAATTTTTTTTTGTCGAACTGCAGTGTGTTTGTTTGGAATGTTTGAATTTGAGTTTTTGTTTAGCGATCATGATTTTTGGTTTTTTTTTTGTTGACCTGAGTTGTTTTTGCCTTAACCCGCCATCCTACAGCTGAATTTTCGTAACAAGTTTCGACAGGTGGGGTGTCACAATCCCCATTGAAATACAGCCTTTTATGATTAAGTACCACGATTTTCACTAAAATTTCTTTAATGTTTTTAAAAATAAAGCTTTTTTTAATGAGTAGCAATAAAAACATGTCGCGTTATTTATTAAAGCCACTTAGGAAGCGCTTACAACTGGACTGATGTTAGAACAGGCACCAAGAAAATTACTATGCTGGGGTTTATTACACCCCACCTGTCAGATTCCGGGTAAATACTGTTTTATGTTCAGCCCGATGTTAGGAGATTCAGCGTACTATTCTTGGTTCTGGTACAAAATTTAATTTGTTTACTTTGTTCTTTGCTCAAAGTAGTTACATAGTATGGTTACTTTATTTTAATACTCACAGAGTGTATCTCCAAGGAATGTAGACCAGCCACTAGTTGATTAGTTGGGATTGTCCCAATATTGAATAAATGTTTCGGGTATACTTTTGAGTTTCTATATTTTTTAATTCATGAAAATCAATACGTTGCAATACTTTTTGTATGTGTGAATATAAACAAAGTGATTGTATAATACTTGGCTTCTCATTTTGTTGCGTGGAAACTTATTTATACTATGCTCGTTTATATCGCACCCTTAATCAAAAATGGTCACAACTCAAGAAATTGCAATGTTTAGGAGAAGTAAAAAACTGTTGATGCTGTGTAAGCAAAGCAAGCAAAATACTTTTTTTTTTTCATAAGATGGTGATGAAGAAAAAATTTTGCCGAGCGTTGGATATAGGACTTGCACTGAGAAATAAATACGTTTCTCTCAACACATGATTTGGTTATAGTTAGATTATTTGGTTATAGTTACCAAATTATGTGTTGAGGGAAATATATTTAACTGAGCTTTTTTTGTGTATGAACTGTTTTATAGAAAAAGAGTAAATCTTAAAGAATTTTGAGTTGTGATAGTTTTTGATGTAGGGTTGGATATGTATGTATAACATCGATATATTGTAGAAATCTTGCAGTCGTATGATTCTAGGTATGTATGTATGTAAGTACATAGTACATATGTCTGTTGTTCAATCCAAACGGAGGAGCTATGTATTTTTATGTACATACATATGTATATGTAGCTATGTTATTGTAGTAGTTGCCTTCAGTCCATCGGACGTGTAGTCAAATTTGCTTTCAATTAATTATTTAAAAAATGCTTAAATGTCCTCTGTTATTTCTTCCTTGATGGGAGTTTACTTAACATTGGACTAGTATAATTATAAAATTTCGTGTTCGAAGCGATTGTTCTTTTCCGTTTTCTTTTGTGCGTGTATGTGTGTGTATACATCGTAACCCAGCAAGCATTCATTTACGTTTATCATACTACATATCGTCGCTCGAGTAAAGAAACAGTGTAAATGCCACATACACTATTATTCGATAATTGCACCATTGGATAGACAATCCTTTAATCTATTAGAAAAATCGTTTATTTTTTCAAATATCTCTTTGGCTCACTAATTTATTACCGAAAAACCAAATTGTATTTGTATGGTTTGTAATGGTTTATAAAAACTTCCAATTCGTTTTTCTCAAAACTATACTTTTCACATTACACTATTTCATTATTCCTGCGACGATATGTAAAAATGATTCAAAACCAAGAACTTTTTAAATATCAAAACTTTTAAAAACGGTTTGAAAAATACAACTTTTCTTCTTTAGGAAAGGGAGATCTCATGGATACCAATATCAAATGTTCTACATCAAAAATATTTCAAACAAATTCAAAAATAAAAAACAAAAACTTAAGCTAACAAATAAACATGATTGGAAAAGTCAGGCCAATAATGATTTTGCAATGGCTCAAATTCTAATATATTCTAAATAAAGATTTTTATATCAAGAAAAATTAAAAGGAGCATTTTCAAAAAAATTTACTTCATAGTTTTGATTAGCCATAATATCTCGCCATAATCGAATTTTAGTTTTTCTGGCCATTTCATAATGTTTCATATAAATTTTTTATTTCAGCGTTTCATTATTTTCATGATGCTTCTAATTTTAATTTTCTTCTGCGTTTTGTAAACTAAATACTCATCTTTATTTAGGGCATAGTTTCAATTCAGTTAATTTTTACATTTATGGTTTGTTGCGTAGTTATTTTATTTATTTTTACTGGAGTTGTTTTTTTAATCGAACTTCGATTAATCGAGATCTTCCGACTCAAATGAATGGGAAATCTAATGTTCAATGCGATCTTTGTGTTCAAGGTGATAACGAATTCTTCCAAAAGATGAAATATATCTACATATTTAAATACATAAAAAAAGAATTTTTCCAAAGGTAAAAAAATAATTTAAACGTTCGCGTCGTTGCCGATTCTGGATGTGTTAACGCACAGCCGTAATTTTTTTTGTATACGTGAATGTTTTTTTTTTTTTAATTCTGATCCATAAATCTTATGTACACTTGTATGTACATGTGTTTCATGTCTCTTGTTTTTGGTTGTTCATAAACATGAACCACCGGTGGTACGTGACGGCTCACGAAAAAGCTGGTCATATATAGTAAAAATTAACCTACAGGCTTCAGACTTGGAACACAAGCTTCTTTATTGAACATAATTATAATTATAAAGTGTTAATATAAAACAAAATCCTCCCACAAATGCGCCCACTACCCATGTAACGGAATTTTTTAAAAACTCTAAATGTAATATTTCGGAAGCTCTAGCAAAGAAACCAAAGGCAATAGAACCTTCCACTTAGCCTTAAATTAAAGGTAGAACTCTCGACTACTGTCGTTGAAAATGCCAGCCCTGCATCTTGACCAAAAGGTCACTTATAGTCATTTATTGAACAGCAAAAACTTATTTTAACAAAATTTTTTTCCAATATTTTTTTATTGTTCAATAAATCTTAAAGCTGTTTTTGATAGAGCTTTTCATGTTGATTACGAGTCCGCAATTATAAAGTTTTCATCTCATCCAGATTTTGAGAAAGACGAGGTCAATGTGTCAAAAAATCATCAAAACGAAAAATCATTTTTTTGAAATATTTGAGAATCTCTAGTAGAGAAAGAAAACGTGATAAAAACTTTCACCTATGCTTAAATTAAAGCTGAAACTCTTGAATACTGTTCCTGAAAATACCACCCCTGCATCTTGATCGAAAGGTCACTTATACATAGTCATTTATAGCACAGCAAAAACTGATTTTGACAAAAAATTTTATTCCAATATTTTTGTGTTGTTCAATAAATGACTATATATGACCTGATGGAAACTTTATACTTAAGGATTCAAAATCAGCACAAAAAAGCCTATTAAAAACAGCTTTAACATTTGCCGCACCAAAATCAGTGGTGCCCTGTGTAAGCTTTCCGCAAAACACAATGAGCACTGTATTATTTTATCTCGCCATTCAATCGGGAACTACAACAGAACTTGGACGAATCTGGTTACTTTCTTGTTGTTTTTGCTATTATCTTCTATTATCTTCAAAATGCAGAATATCCCGATCTCTCGCGATCACAACTTTTTCAACAACCAAATGAAAAAAATATTCTTATATATTTTTTTTGAGACAGCTTTTACAATTAATTTTTAGATATATTTAGTTGTGTCAAAAATTTAAATTTAATGACTTAGATTATTTAAGATACCGTCAGCTACGCTCTCTATCTCGCAAAAAATAATTAAGTGTTTGAACCACTATTTTAAAATAAAATAAATAAAATTTTAAGTGGGATTAGCAAGTTCAAACTGCTCTAGTAAAGAAGATACAAAAAAAGGGTGCCTTATACTTTTCATCCACTACAATGGACCTTCATCTTGACAAATTACCATGTTTTTCAACAGTCGGACAACTTTGATTTTCGGAATACTGGCAAGCTTTTTCGTGATGTCTCCCACTGTGCGGCTGTGACATATATTTCTTACCCAGGGACGTCAAATACTACCAGTGGCCACGATGTAAAAGGTAAATACATTGATGTCTAAGTATCTCTGTTTTGTTTCAGAAAATTAATAAATTTCGATTTTTTTTGCGTCCTGTAACAAATTAAGTTTGCTTGAATAAACTAGTATTAGGGGAGCTCAAAATTTGTAGCATTTAAGGTGTAAAGTTGCTACATATGTATGTAGACTGCTTTTGGAGAAGCAACAAAACGCGTGCTAAATTGTTACGTAGAACCTTTATACCAAAAATGCTACAAATCGTGAACTGCCGCATTGAAAATACTCCTTAAATCCGGTTTTTTAGTAGTTAGTCCAAAATACTTAGATAATAAATGCAAAAATGATCCGACTTAGAACCGAATGTACCGCCCTTACGTACAGCCGTTACTTCTTTTCCAAGCTTCTTGTGCCATAACGTTTTTAAATAGGATTAAACATAAAACCAACAGTGTGCCGCATGTGGTACACGACGTCGCGCATGTGTTTTTTACTTTAAGGAAAATTTACTAAATAACGGATTACCGCTGGAAGCAAGTGCAACCACAATCTAATTTTCTTATATACTTATATTTCCTAATATATTCTTGTGACATTAATAACAAAAACAGTTCCATAAAAAATACTTGACTACTCAATTTTTGAATCTTCAACTTTCTAAACGAAATTCAGATAAGGAAACAAAAATCATTTGTTTTGGTTTTTTGTTTTTTTTTTTTTAACTTTATTTAAGTTTTTATTATGCCAAACCGAAAGAAGCACGCGCCCTTTGAGGTTCTCGATGTCGAGTACATTTCTCCCATTCAATTTGATTAGCTAAATTTTTCGATATGTCGACATATGCATGTACTACTGTGCAAATGAACCGAAATGTAACCATACACAGAGTGCTGCTATAGACATAACCATTGCAATCGGCTGTTCTGATCAAACGTAACGAAGCTCTCTAAACGATTATTTGTGACATTCCTTAACACCACGGCCATAATCATAACCGCAATAATTCGCATAAAGCTGAAAATTGGTACAAGTGTTGCGAACATCATTACAAATGGGATGCAAAAGGTCCCATCGATCCCACATCTGCTAAAAATTTATTCAAGGTCAAAGGTCACATAAATTGATATTTTTAAATTTTCAGCCAAAAAGCAAGGTTTATCATAAAAAAGGTTACACAAAAGTGTAGGGAGGAAACGATACCATGCAGGTATCGACACTTTTACTTGGAAGTAGTATCGAAAGAAAGTATCGAAAAATATCGGATCTAAAGTATCGATACCTACTCGTATCGATAATTTTGCCTATGAAGGCAATACGTATGAACTAAAGTACTTACTACATATAAATAGTCTCAATCAAAGCTCGTTTGTTGATCACCCCGATTGCTTGTTTTCCTCACAACTCAAGGAAAAGTTCAATTTATTCCCTGTTTCACTGTGATTACTTTTTTCTCCTAAATTAAGAATTTTAAATATATTTGAACTTAATATTTTATTAAAAATTATTATCTTACAGTTTCGCTTAAAAATGCAAAAAAAAAAAACAATATATGTGACCTTGAATAATTTTGTTTGCAGATGTGGGATCGATGGGGACTTTTCACATTTTATTTTTACCGGTGTTCCCAACATTCGTACCAATTTTCAGCTCAATGCAAATTATTGTGTGTTTACATCACTTACTTATTTTTTTAGCTAACTTGACTGCGCTTCTAATAAAAGACAAAATATGTACATACATATGTAATTCCTTATTAATTTGATCAACAAGATTTTCTTCATAGATACATACATATATGAAGACTGCGAAGACAAATAATACGACATACTACATATATTATTACTTCTGTTCTGTTTCATTAGGTGGTTTTTTTCTCTATGCACTATTACTAGAATAGCAAAAGCAATCCGTGTGATTTCACTCGAAACCGATTTGAGAAAATTTGTGAAAACCAAGTTAGGCCTGGGGCGTATTTCATAAAGGGACAGTGACTATTTTGTCACGACAGGCATTTACCGTATTGTCAGTGAAAATTCGACAGTTTGGTGGATGTTTTGTTTCATAAAAACAATTGTCACCGTTTGAATTCCATGTTTTTTCAAAGTTGTCGGCAGTCATATGAAATTTAGATATAATTCATATGTAATCATTGCATTTCCATTATTTTAGTTTTAAGAAATATTTAAATTATTGAAGAGCAATGAAATTCGCGTAATTACCATATACAAAATTGGAAAATTCTCCTGTGAAAACTTTTAAACGGAGCTATTTAGTTTTGTCGGTCCAGGCGTCTATGAAACAGAAAAAATGTCGGCGACAATTCTGGCTCTGAAACTTTCCGGAAAAATCTGCAATGGTCACTTTTATGAAATAGTTCCTGGTATTTTTCTTCGAAACGTTCGAAATCATGTTTGCTGAGTATGCGTGTATTAGTATGTACTATGTATGTCTGTTTTTTGTGTGTGTATATATTTTGAGTGTTTGATGTTTTCGCTTCTCTTTCTTTTGTTTCATTCTATTTTTTATTAGTTAGTTTGTAGTTTTTAGTATTTTAAATTCGTGTCTCAGTTTGTAGTTGTTTCTGTTGATGCTGTATTTGTTGTGCAGCATCAGTGAAGGCATTCACCGCGCGCTGAGCTGTCTGTGAATGGCCATTGATGGCGGCAGCCGTCCCATGCCCCACTAGCAGATTGTAACGTTGCTGCAATTGCTGCTGCTGCGGCTCTTCGTCGATGTAGGTGATGTCTGAGAGCAGGGCGGCCGCCGTCGTAGACCCATTGCCACCACCAGGCTGATTATTATTTTTATATTGCTGGTGTTGCTGCGGGCTATTAGTACGCTGTTGTTGCTGGTGCGCATAATTAGGATTAAGCAGGTTAGAATTATACAGCGGATAACCGGGGATCGTGCCGCGTGGACTGCGCAAGCTATGCAACGATCGGCGCTCGTTCAAGTCTTCCAATGTTGAGCGGAATGCACGAATAACGCGTAACTGAAACAAATAAAATTAGACAACAAACAAACAAACGAACGTACGAACAAACATCGCAAAAAAAGAACGAAAATGAAAAAAGAAAAATGAAACGAAAAAGAAAAAAAATAAATTGATTAATTGTTTGGTATTTGGGAATTTAAAAAAGATGCAAAATGCAAAATATAAATAAGGAGATAATCAATAAAAACAAAATGTAAATAAAAACTTTGTAAATTAATTATTTGTTAATTTCATATCACTTTTTATTTAAATATCATTATCTTAAACTTGCACATATGTATGTATGCACATATATACATATGTATGTAATATGTTTGTATGTTTCTAAGCTGTACTATATACGATCGCAGCTAGTATATGTAGGTGAATGCAAATATCTACAGTGTTGTGCAAAACAAAAGCAACAAAATTTAGTTAGATTAATGCTGTTCTCTGTACTCCTTTCAAAAAACAATTTAAGCAAAATTGTATTATTATTTCTTAAATACCCAAAAGCGCTTTAAAATAAACGTAATATTTGTACCACTTCTTGGTGAAAAAAATAGAATTAAAAACAAAAACTGGTCCACACTCGGTTGGCATATGTGCATAACAAAAGTAACAAATCAATATTTTGAATAAGAACCCTTATTCTTAGTTACATCAGTGAATCTCCCGAGGCATTGATGCTAGTAAATGTTATCTATGATTCATCTTTATTGCAAAGGTGTGGACCGGAAACCCTCCTCTTTCTCAACGTTCTATTGTTTTCACCAAGAAGAGGTAAATGTATTACATTTATTTTAAAGCACGGTTTTTTGAATTAAATACAGCAATATAATTAATTTGATGGTTTTATATATGTATACGCATACATACATAAAAGAATACTTAAATGTACACAAGTCATAAAGTTAAATAAAACTAAAACAGTGACTTCTGCGTGTATGGACGTAAACATACGGCTTCTGCTCTATTTTTTTTAAATTTAATACTGTACATATGTATGTTTGAGTGTCCAATTTGTATCATTAAATATTTTAAATGATTTGATTGAGGGGAAATTGCCAAATCGCGCTTATTTTTTTATATGTACACTAGGGTGGTCCAAAAATGTATGAGGAAAAAGTAAAGTCGGAATTTTTATGCTCTCACCCCCTAGGATTGTTCTATACCGAAAAAAGTATACCCCTATTTTTTTTTGGAATCAAAAAATATTTAGAGGTCGCTCATAGCGCTCAAAATTTTCCATGCATTTTTATATGGGGAGAAAACAACTTTTCGTAGAAATGGTATAGAATTCTTAGTCAATATTTTTCGATCTAAAAACTCTGCTTCTGTGCAGGAGATTTCCAATAATAATACCCAATTGTCTAGTTAACCATTTATTATCGTAACTAATAAAAAATCGTTTGTATAAAAAAATAGTTAAATAAATAATTGGGTATTGTTATTGAAAGTCTCCTGAAGAGAACCAGAACTTTCCGATCGAAAAATATTGATTTTCAAGAATTCTATATCATTTCTACGAAGTGATTTTTCCCCATATAAAAATACATGGAAAACATTGAGCGCTTTGAGTGACCTCTAAATATTTTTTGATTTCAAAATAAAAAAAAGGGGTATACTTTATTTCGATATAGTACAATCCTAGGGGATGAGAGAATTACAATTCCGACTTTACTGTTTTTGGTCCACCCTAATGTACACACATAACCATGCATATGTACATAATACATATTAGGGCTGGGACTATCCGTATACTCGCATATCCGGTCATCTGTGTGGATATTCGCGTGTACGAATAAAATCCGGATATCCGGTTAATATCCGTTTTATTTTGTTATCCGAATATTCTAATGCCGAATTTCCACTAGGCATTGAAATGACAAAAAATTAGAGGTATTTAAAGAGTGCCATGTGGAAATGAATTTAATGACTATGTTTTTAACGTAATGACACGAATATTTTTTAATGCCCAAGTTTGCCAATAAAATATTTGCCATTTAATGCCTAGTGCATATCCAGCATAAGCAGTGTTTGAACGGGTTAATAAAATTGTTCTCAAAATAACTGAATCTATTGAATTGAAAAATAAATAATAGCATACTTCATTAATACACAAACAATAGTCATTTTTAGATTCGAAAATCTGGATATCCGATTAAAAAACCTGGATAGAACTCCCAGCCCTGATACAAAAGAAGCAGGGTTAGAACTACGGCAAGACCAAATTGGAGCAAAAGACGTCAATAATTGTAGCAGAAAATAAAATTACCATCTACTTTACCCATTACACCTTCGACTCTACAACTTAAAGTCAATCTCTTTTTAACCAAAGTAAGGAACCATTTGAATTTTTAATGACAGTTATCCTCTCCTGTTTCAAGCAAGTGTTGTATATTTTGGCGAACGAGTGGCGAAAATTATCTTAAAAATTACGTTCCAACTATTATTATCGTGGAGAAATTATGAAAGTTATGCCATTTCCCAGAACGAATACCTTCAAGATGCATATTTATATTTAGGTATACATACATAAGTAGTATGTGCTACATGCAAAAATGAAAATTAATCGAATCTTATTTATATTATACTTTAAAATTAAAAGTAAATGCTCTTGTTAAATGAAAAAAGAGAAACAATTGTACTTCTTAATTTTTTGAGTTCAGTTATCGCAATAAGAGCACTTTGTTACTTTCGAAAGAAAATCGTAGCAGATCGTAGGTAAAGCGGGGTAGGGTAGTAAATTTCAAATTTTATCGAAGCCCGTAGTAAATCTACCACGATTGTAGTGAATCTCTAACCTTGATAAGGCGCTGCCTACATGCATATGATGTATCTATTTTATACGCTTAGTTGCATATACATACATATACACATAATATTTAAAGGAAAAAATAACATAAATAAACTTTGAACATAACAAAACGTAAAACTAGTTAGTTAGCGTAAAAATAGTCATAAAAATTGGCATACAAATATTGGTAAAATTAGGCGAAAAAATAAGCGTCAATGCAAATAAACAAAAATATTTTTTAGCACAACAACAAAAAACGGAATAGCTAAACCAAAAGTGTATGTATTTTATATGGATTCATAGTGACCATTGTGGGAGTGAACAAGGTCTTGTATACTGTCGTATTGTTGTAGGAAGAGCTGGGCACTTAGGATTACGATTACATTTTGATTACTTAGGACCGTGATTAATAATAATAATAATATATTGGCGCTTACACATATGTTAGTGCTTGGGCGAGCTTCTCCTCCGATTTGTGGTGTGCGCCTTGATTTTGTCACACAAAGAGGAGGGACCTACAGTTTTACGCCGGCTTCGAACGGCGATTGTGTTTTTCGTGGCAGAAATACACTCGGAGGTTTGCCATTGCGAGGGGATTGCGATTACTGGAAATGTAATCCAGGAAACTTTTAGCATTCAGATTACTGTAATTGTAATTATAAAATGCTTAATTGCGAATGCTTTAATTGTAATCCCTAAAATTTAACGATTACTACTACGGTAATCGTAATCGTACTTTTTATGATTACGATTACGGTAATCGTAATTCTCAAAATCCTAAGATTACAATTACAGTAATTGTAGTAATGGAAATGAGGATTACTAATACAGTAGTAGTAGTTGTTAAATACTTAGGATTACAGTTAATGCATTAGGGAAGGAAATAACGCATAGTAAAAATGAATAATTTTTATTTGACTATCGTTTAAAAGTGTTCGTGCTTAAGAATAATACTTTCGTACCAAAATTTAGCACGCACATATTTGAATGCCCACATCTCAGTATAGACTGAAGGGAAAAAATAGTAAAATCAAACAAAACCGTATTTAAATCAAATGAAAACGTTTTCAAAAGTAGTGTATGCATAATGAAAATATTCAATTCAAATACGCCTGTATTAAAATGAAGCATTTTGCACTTCACAGATGGCGTTTTGCACCTCACGAATGCTTTTTCATAATTAAGAAACTGTATGTATGCCAAGCAGAGTTGGGCACGGGACTAAATATTTAATCCTGATCCCGCCCACCCCGAAATTCGATTTTTAAGACCCGAACCCGCCCATCCCGACGTTTTTCAGAATTGTACCGCGAGTCCCGTGGGTCCCGATATCTACCTCTAAAAAATTTCAACGTGTGTGGTATGGTTTGCAAACCGATCGAGGGTTGACAAAAAAAATGTTCATGTCTTTCAAATTAATTTTAAATAATAAATATAATAATGAAAGATCTGGCATCTTCCGACTATTTTCTTTTGCTTTGCTGTTCGTTTTCGTCTCAATAAAACATTAAAAGTGCATATTTCAAACATCGTTTTTAAGGAAGATTTTGTGAATTTGCGGGGGTTACGGTTTTATCGGGAGTGTCGGGAAAGAATTTTGGTTCCGTCCCGCCCGCCATATTTTTACAGATCTTCCCGCTACCGCCCATCCAGGCCAATTTTAGATCAGTACCGTGGGTCCCGCTATCCCGCGCCCATCTCTAATGCCAAGCATGCACAGCGGTGAAAATTGTGTTAACACATAATCATAGCACTTGTGGTCAGCTCATTAAGTCAAGTGACATTTTGACTAGATTTGGCTATTTTTCGTTTCTTTATTTAATGTTTATATTTTTTTTATACCAGCGCCACATAAATTAATATTTCAAACTGCGTACCCAAATTATGAAAATTCAACAAACTTTAGGAATTGCACCCAAAACCTTTAAACTTTTTATTTAGAATTTTTAGAAAAATTTTGGGTATTCAGTTTTGTAGCTCATTAAATTTTAGCAGGTTAAAGTGCAAATTTCAAGACGCAAGAAAATGCCGTTGATTTTTTTTCAATTGACCACCTCGAAGTTGCGATTTGACGCCACACATAGGAGTATTTTTGTAATAAAACCGGTCAAAAGTCAGATTCATCAACTTTGCTAAAAACTGAGCACTGTTTCTTTTGATATTATATTTTAGTGGACCAATAAAAAAAAACCTATGAAGTATATATGAAAGAAGAAAG